TGCTGGGATGGGTGTGTGTGCAGGGGTAGCCTGGTCTGCTGGGATGGGTGTGTGTCGTCCTCCGGGTGTGCTGACATTGTGGTTGTCTGACCTTGTGCAGATGAATGTGTCCCCTGCTTCTCTTGCCAGTCTCTTTGAAGAAGAATTTAAACAAGACATGGCAGCCCTGAAGGTAAGCTGTGGTTTACCCTCCTGTAAAGGGAAGTGGCAGCTCACCTGCCTGATCCAGAACATTCCAGTGTTAGTGCCTTGTGGTGTCAAGACCGAAGGAAAGGACCTGAACCTAGACCTGCTGAGTAAACCCTTGTAATGGCCTCGGGGGAGGGAGCTGGTCTGGGGTATCAGGATGAGCTGGATTTCTCTCCTGTGGGTCTGAAGAAGCCCATTTGTATGAGGTAGGATGAAGTGATTGTACCTTGCCAGAATGTCCCTGATTTATCTTACATTCCTGTCAGCGTCATTCCTGGCAACGAGGTCTGGCTGCCCGGCTTCTTGTTCTCCTCAGCAGTCTTGTCTGTTGAGAGTTAGTAGGGAAACCACACAGGAAGAGCCAGTTGGATCACTGGGGCATCCTGACTCAGAATGGCTGCCGCCCTGTTGTGCCGGGTCTGGGCATGAGCCCGTGACCTTGGAGATCACCCTGGTGCCTGTGTCTCTGCGTCTTTCCAGGTTCTGCCGCCAACGGTGTACTTGAGAGTCACTGAGAACATCCCACAGATCATCAGTTTCATTGAAGGCATCATTGCTCACGGCCATGCTTACTCGACAGCCTCAGGTGTGGCTGGGGGCCCCTGGTGCAGTTCTGAGGTGCAGGTCATGCCTGGGCTGTGTGCTGCCATTTCCGTGGCTGTGTTATTTTTATTTATGTGTGTGCATGCACATGTGTGTTGTTGCACATGGAGGCCAGAAGAGGGGTGAGACTCCCCAGGGACTATAGTTACAGGCAATCGTGAGCTGCCCGGTGTGGGCTTCAGGCACTGTGGGTCCTCCGCAAGAGCAGTAAGCACTCTTGACTACTAATCTATTCTTTTTTTCAGATTCTATTTTATCATTTTAAATTGAATATTTATGTGTGTGGGTCAGGGGGGTTGATACATGAATACAGTACAAAGGTCAGAGAGGGACATCCGATCTCCCAGAGCTGGAGATACAGGCAAAATGTGAGCTGTCCAGGGTGGGTGCTAGGACTTTGCTAGAGCTTTTGGTCCTGCAGGGGCTCTGTAACTACCAAGCCACTCTCCAGCTGCCCGGGGCCTTGCTTCAGCTTTCTCTTACAACCACAGAACATAGGCAAACTAGTCCTGACCCCCTGTGGAGTCTGGGGGTAGCTGTGCAGATACTCAGTGTGGTATTATTTCAGTTTGGGGTGTGTCTGTGTGTGTATGTGTGTGTGCGTGCACACTAATATAATGTAGGCATGTTAAATGTATTCAGCCTATACATTTAACATACTTATAATGTAGGCATGTTAAACGTATTCAGCCTGCCCAGCTGAGCAGTTATAAGAAGTTTCTAGCAGTCTTCACAGTCTGCAGAACCACTTAACCAGATACCAGGTAAAACAGCCTCACTTGGCTTTAAACTAATGCTCCATTTCTAGCTGGTCGCCTGTCCTCTGGTTGCTAGTCGTTATGCTGGGAGAGCTGTGGGAGATGCTGCCTCCTCCTGCACACAGCGGCCTGGGCACCTTGTAGTGCAACGTGGCCATGGCTCCAGCAGCCTCATCAGCCATCTGGAAGCTCCTCTCTGAGCTCTTCCTCCAGGAAAGTTCCTGAGACAGATTCCTGGATGGCTTCCTGTTCTCCTCCTACATGTAATATGTCAAGGAGCCAGGGTAACAGTGTTCCTGCATAGGTGATGAATGGAGGGTGTATGTGATCGGGAGCTGACCACACAGCTGGGAGAAGTTCAGTAGCATCATCTCAGTATTGGTACTGAAGCATCATCACACTGCCCAACCGACTGAGTAGGGATGCCACCCAAAGGCCCATGCACCTGGGTGATCGTGTTCCTGAGGAGACCACAGCATTTGTTCCTCCAGAACAGGTCACAGTGTGGGTCACCAGACACCAGTTTGCAGGAAGACCAGGGACCTGTGCTTGACCCACGCCATGGTGGCCTCCATTCCTTTCCTCCCTACTTTCTGAGAGGGTTTCTCCTTAAGCCTGAACTCGCCGGCTAAGCTGGCTGCCTTTACCCGCTCCCCCGCCAGCACTGAGGTTGCACGCCTGTGCAGCCATACCTGGGTTTTATGTGGTTCCCCTTGCTTCACAGCTTGCACCCTTACCTCGGAGCCATCTTGCTATTCTCTGTTGAGGAATCTTCACAAGCGCTGGAGACAGGGCAGGGCCCCTGGAGACTGTTCCTTCCTGTCGAGCTCATCTGGGCTATTCATCTCCAAGCATACCTGTATTTTAGGGTTTTATTGCTGTGAAGAGACACCATGACCATGGCAACTCTTATAAAATGTTTAATTGGGCCTGGCTTATAGTTTCTGAGGTTCAGTCCATTATCTTTATGGCAGGAAGCTTGGTAGCGCACAGGCAGACATGGTGCTGGAGAGGTAGCCGAGAGCTCTGCATCTGGATCAGCAGGCAGCAGGAAGAGAGGGTGACACTGGGCCTCGCTTGAATGTCTGAGACCTCAAGGCCCACCCCTGTGACAGGCATCTCAGAATAATCCTGGAGGTGCATGCAGTGTGCAGGCATTGTTGGTGTAGAAGATGCCTGGGTAGAAAAAGGTGTGTGTGTGTGTGTGTGTGTGTGTGTGTGTTCATGCAGTGTGCAGACATTGTTGGTGCAGAAGATGCCTGGGTAGAAAACAGTGTGTGTGTGTGTGTGTGTGTGTGTGTGTGTGTGTGTGTGTGTGTATTCATGCAGTGTGCAGGCATTGTTGGTGTAGATGGTGCCTGGGTAGTGTCTCTATGTGTGTTTGTTATTTGTGTGGTAATGTGTGTTGCGTGTGCAAACGTGTGTGCACACACGTGTGCAGTCTGTGCTGAAGCTGTAACTGTTTGTGAGCTGTTAGACTACAGATGTGGCTGCTTCAGCCGGGCAAGTGCTGAGCTCCTGTTTATGTTAAGCAGGCAGCGTCTACTTCGATCTGCGAGCGCGAGGGGACAAGTACGGCAAGCTCGTCAGCGTGGTTCCCAGCGCAGCCCCAGAGCCAGGTGGGTGACGGCTGGTGTCCTGCGGGCCTCAGCCTCTGAGTGTGGGGTTCTGAGGTTTGATCTGGAGCAGGGAAGATGTGGGCTGACTTGGGTCGTTAGCCCTTCTGGGAGGTTGATTCATTCTGTAAACAGACAAGACTGCAGAAGACCCAGGCGTGCTATTTGCTCCCTCTTCTTCTTTTGGAATTTTCTCTGCATGGGACAACATACATGCTGTCGCAGTGTGACCCTCTTCTGCTGCTTGCTGCTCTATACTAGATTCCTGGCATCAGTTAGTGTATTCCTGTGCTGTTTGGGCTTCAACCATTTTGTTAGGTCTAAGTTTTTTTTGTTTGTTTGTTTTGTTTTTGTTTTGTTTTTGTTTTTTTGAGACAGACAGAGTTTGTTTGTGTAATAATCCTGTCTGTCCTGGAACTCACTTTGTAGACCAGGCTGGCCTCAGTCTCACAGAGATCCACCTGCTCCTGCCTCCTGAGAGCTGGGATTAAAGGCATGTGCCACCACCACCTGCTGGTCAAAGTAATTTTTATGGAGAAGGCATAAAAAGCATGTAGAACTAAACTTAAACTATCTATTAAGGATGCTGAGCATAGTAGCCCATGCTTTCACGTTACTGCTATAAATGACCCACATGGGTCCCTGGCTGCTTTGTATATTCTCAAGTCTTCTGTATTTCTCCTATATTCCTTCCCCACATCTCCTCCTGCCATTCTTCTGAAGAACTGTCATCCCCCCTTGTTTGCTCAATGAGATTTGCTGTTACGTGGATTTCTCTCTAGACCGTGTGCTTCTTACAGATTGGTAATTAACTTACAGGCTTATTCCAACTCTGAGTGTCTATGGATAGAGACTAGTGGATAACACATTTGTCACCAATCTAATTTAAAATTCTTATTATTTATTTATTTATTATGTGTACAGTGCTCTGCTTGCACATCAGAAGAGGGCATCAGATCTGATTACAGATTACAGATGGTTGGGAGCCACCCTATGGTTGCTGGGAATTGAACTCAGGACCTTTGGAAGATCAGCCAGTGCTCTTAACCTCTAAGCCATCTCTCCAGCCTTTATTATTTATTTTTGAGACAGAGTTTCATTCTGTAGCCCCAACTATCCTGGAACTTGCTTGGGAGACCAGGTTAGCCTCAGAGTGAGCCAAGTACTGGTTTTAAAGGTGTGTATCACTGTACGTAACTTAAATCTAATTTTTAATAATCTTGTTTACTGGGCTCTTAGAAATGATATGCTACTTTTACCCAATCAGTAGCCCTCTGCTGTGGCCCATCCACAGTGGAGCATTCTGGGATCCCGTACCCATGGACTACGGTTTGAGGCAGGCTTGGGTTGTGCCTTCCAGGAAGGGACTTTGGGAGAGTTGTAAGACCGAGCAGAAGCGGTTGTTTTGTTGCTTTGTATCTGGTTTGTGTATCTGGGACAGGGTCTCGGGTAGCCTAGGCTAACCTGGAACTTGCCGCACATCGGAGGGAACCCTGGAACTGCAGGCCCCGCTCCTACCCTCAAGTGCTGGCCTAGATATGTACTTCCAGGCACAGCTTTTGGTTTTATTTCCACAGGCTTTGTATTTTCAGTGCCACTTGGGGTTTACAGTTGACCAGAGTGGAGTTAGAGAATTCCCACTGGGCCTCCTCCGCTGCACAGCCCCTCACCACCCTCATCCCCCAGAGCAGCCAGAGCCATCCGTGCCCTGCACCACCTGAGTCTGTGGTTCGTGTTAGCCTACCCATTGGGCTGGACAGACATTTAGACAAATGCCACGTGTTCCCACGTGACACAATCCCATGCAATGGCTTCCCATCCCTGAGACCATCTGTGCTCCATGTTTTTCCCGTCTCTGCTACCTCAACCTTTTCACCATCCACTGCTTTGTTTCTCCAGAATGTTGCAAAATTGTACACATTCAGCCCAAGCCTTTCCAGGTCTTCCAGGTCGGCTTCTTTCTGTTAGTAACAGGCTTTTGTGGTTTTTTGTTTTTTTTTTTTTGAGACAGTCTTGCTTGATACTAAGTAGCTGAAGGTGGCCTTGATCTTGAGGAGCTCTTCCTGCCTTCTCCTCCTCCTGAGTACTGCATTAGAGGCATGGCCACCATGCCAGCTAGTAACGTACTTGGAAGCTTTGTGGGTCTGTGCATGCTTTGGTCGCTCGTCTCTCACTGATACTGAATAATGGATGCTCTGCTGTTTGTGTGCCCAGTGTCTGTGTGCTGGAGTTAATTCTTAGTCTGTCTACTTACTGAGTCCATCTTGACTGCATTCATGTTTGGGCAGTTGGGGATAAGGCTGCTGTGAGTATCCATGTGCAGGACTTTATGTGAATGTTTTCGGTATCTTGGGTAAGCTCCCAGGAGTATGATGGCTGTGTCATATAAAAAACCTGTTTGGTTTTGTGAGAAGTTGCCAGCGTCCCCAGCAGGGAGTAACAACTCCCCCAGCCCGTCTGTACTCCCAGGGCAGCACTGTTGGAAGTCACTGCCTCATTCAAAAGCACAGCATGAGTAAAGATTTAAAATTGGGGATTGGCATTTAGCAAAGCAAAGGCACCGAGTCCTTCTGGTGCCATGACGGGCTCCACCACTCCAATGTGCCATTTCGGAACAAGGCTTTTTAGCATTCTTTGCATTTTGAATTGTAGCAGTAACCCAAGGCAGGAAGGACGCAGAAGTGGGTCCTGCTCGGTGACAGCGGTCGCCCCAGTGAAGAGAGGTGGCCCTGGCACTGGGTTTCTTGCATTGTATCCTTCCTGCCCAGCTCTTGCTGTTTGGGAGCAACCTCTCCCTTATGACAGTGCTTGCCTCTCCTCCTCACCATCCCAAGTGGCTGCATGACCCACACGTGGGTCCCTGGCACTGTGCTTGTCTCTAAGTGTTTTGTATTCCCACGTATAACGTTTCTCCTGCACCCCCCTCCCCAATCTCCCCTGCCATTATTCTGAAGAACCGTCCTCCATCCCCATTTGCTCAATGGGATTGGTCTCTGCTGCCCTGCTGAACTCCTGTCTGTTCCTGCCAACTTTGCCCCATACCAGCTTACGGCAAACCCCTCTGAGATTCTCTGGCTTTCCCATGTCTATGCCAGTCCTATTCACTAGCCTGCGATTCCCGTTGGACCCCACCTTGTGCTGTGCTCAGTACACACATGGCATTGTGACGCAGAGGTTCAGATTGACCCGGTGACATCATTTCTGTCAATGTAAACAGGGACAGTAAACCCAGTGACAGCTACGAAACAGTGAATTGGATATGACCGTGTGGCATTTAAGACAGGACACAGCTCTGCTTGCTTGTCCTCTATCCTGATGTCCCTCTGTGATGGCCACCTTGGCCCTCAGGAGGATTGCTGTCGTTGTAAAAAAATGTCACTTAGGAACTCAGTCACTCCAAGGTGACTGAATAGAACTGGCTGGGCACTGGGATCTAGTCCCTTGGCAGCGAGTGCCCTGTTGTTTGCAGGCTCGGCTGTGACCTCTGTGACCAGATTTTGTGGATACCACGCCTCTGCTCTGCTTATTGACTTGGAGGCTTTAGTCCTGCTGCCCCACTGAGGAAGAGTAGAGCACATTAGTAAGAGGTATGAGGTTTACATAGAGGGAGCATGCCGTTGTCTGGCTGGTGATGCGGGATGTCCTTCTGGATATGTGTGGCTCTTATTGGTTGATGAATAAAACTGTTTTGGCCAAAGGCTTAGGCGTTTTCCTACCTAGCTCTTGTATCTTAAATTAACCCATTTTCTATTTCTATGTATCACCACGAGATGCCCTACTGGTAAGGTACTGACATCTTTCTCCTTTAGCAGCTACATGGCGTCTCTCTGACTCTGCCTTCTTTTTCTCTATATCTCTGTTCTGATTTTCCACCTGGCTTTATTCTGCTAAGCCATTGGCCGAAACAGCTTTATTCATCAACCAATGAAAGCAATGAATATACAGAAGGCCATCCACACCAGCTGGAACACAGGTGGCCAGTGCCGCACGGAGGTGTCTCACTCATCAACCCTCTGTCACCAGCAGTTGACTCTGACAAGCGGCACGCCAGCGACTTTGCCCTGTGGAAGGCAGCCAAACCTCAGGAGGTGTTCTGGACCTCGCCATGGGGAGATGGCCGTCCCGGTTGGCATATCGAGTGTTCCGCCATGGCCAGGTAAGGCCCCAGCAGTTCCCGAGCTTCGAGTGTTCAAGCCTGGTGTGACAGGGTGACCTGGCTGTGGGAGAGGACAGCCTGGAGGCTGGAGGGCAGCTGCTGGGGGGCCATGAGGAGGGGGCCCAGCTTTCTTGTTTAGTCTGCTGCTAGCAGGACAGGCTCTGTCACACAGCAGTGGATGTACCTTATGGTCCCTGATGGCTCAGGCCTCAGGGCAGGTAAGAGCAAGGGCTGGGTCAGGGAGGCCCTTAGCTAGGTTTTACACTGCTGAAAAGCCGTTTTGAGGACATTTATGTGCCCTGGCCAGCCCACCTCTCCAGAGTCCAGAATCTACCTTGGTCTGGTGGAGGAACAGCCCCTCCACCAGCTGGGAGAGGTGGACCACCCTCCCTGTCCTCAGGCAACCCTGTATTTCCCGAGGGTTCTGGTGACAGTTTCAGTTGGCCCCCTCCCTCCCTATCAGCCTGGTAGAGCCATGCACAGCGAACAGAACCACGTTTTTATGGTGTGGGGAATGCTTCTGGAGCGAATGTGAGGTGTGGGCCCTGATGGTGAGGCTGCTCACACAAGCTTGCACTCTGCCCTGCAGCGAGGTGTTTGGGAGCCAACTGGACATCCACACAGGCGGCATAGACTTGGCTTTCCCACACCACGAGAACGAAATAGCACAGAGTGAGGTCTTCCACCAGTGTCAGCAGTGGGGAAACTACTTCCTACATTCTGGTAAGCGCGGCTTGAGGCACACTTACTTTCCAATTCTGGCAACTCTGTGTATTGGAAACACCCGATCCGCGGGCAGAATGACAGGAGGGCCTGACTGACATCATCGTTTGGGTTTCTGTCGGGTATCTCTCCTTCATTCTTGGCCAGCTGCATGTACACATGCAATGCATCTCTACCATAGTGGTCATACCCACACTCTGGCCTACCACTTCTTTTCCTTGTTAACTCTCTGAGTCCTGGCAGTATTGACTGATCTTATTGGCTAACCTTGTGTCAGTTTGTGTCGGTAACCATAGCTGCAGCAAGCTCTTGCGTGCAACAGCCACATCCTGTCCGAAAGACATTTCACAGCACACACACCCACTTCTGCCTCTTAGATTCTTTCTAATCTTTTTTTTTTTTTTTTAAATGAGGGTCTAGATCTCTCATTTAGGGCTGGGTACCCAACAGTCACTTATCCTTAGCACTGTGGCTGCACTGCCCCCTGCCCACTGCAGAAAGATCTCCCACTGGGGCTGCGTAATCGACGGTCACTTATCCCTAGGACGTTTGCGGTGTTGACCGCTGCCGACTGCAGAAAGCAGCCCCTCTGGCCCCCGCTGAGAGCAGTGCTAGCCCTTGTTTGTAAACAAATACTCAGAAGGCAATTGATGCGGTGTTGTTCAGCAAACCAACAGTAGCAGGCTCTCTGCTAAGGCCTATGACCCCTGAGCCATGAGCTTTTGACCAGGTATATGGCACCAGGCACAAACTCCCTTCTGTGGAGCAGGCCTCAGATCCAATCAGAAAGTGCTCGGTTACTGCACTGATTAAATGCGTTAAAGAGAATTTCAGAGGCACCGGAACGCATCAGTGTTACAGCGAAGAAACGAAAATTCAGCTCTTCCTCTTGGGTAGATTTGACAGGAAAAGCCCGAGTTTGAGTTCTCCACTCCTCTCCCTGGTCTTCCATCTGTCTGTGCCTCAGTTGGGGGTTGTTGGCTTGTCTGGAGTCTGTTGTGTGTCTGACTGTAAAACCTGTGTTTTGTGTGTCTACCAGAGGGCTTTGCTCTGTTGGGTCACGTGGGGAAGGAGTGAGGGATACATTAGGAAATTAACAGAAGTTTACAAGGGGGTAGGTAAGTCATTTTCTCCCGCTAACCGCCGCCGGTCCTGAAACACTCAGTTCTACAAACACACCACCGCAGAGATATCTGTGTGCCGCTCCAACACATACAATCGTTATTCTTGAACATCGTCCCTTTGACCTGCTCACTCTTTTTAGCAAGTGATTTCTGTAACACACATACACACACATGCATTGCTCTTTGGATCAGGGGCATGGAAGCATACATAACTTACAATTAAAGCTATGCATTAGCTTAGGTTATAAAAGTTGATTACACAAGGAACCCAAAGCAGGTTAGGTTGGTTTTTACGTTGTTCTCTTAAAGGCAGGTTAAACAAACAGTCTGAGTACACAGTAGGGTTTCTGGCTGTCTTAAGTGACCTCAAGGTATATTATTAACTTGGCTGTGAGGTCCAGTAAGAATTCCATTGTCTTTGAATATAAGAGATGCTCTTCTATAATATTGCCATAGGTCACCATAACCTTTATGCCACTGTTTCTTTTCACCAGTGGGCACACCTTGCCTGGCAGGTTGGTATCGTAGCAGATAGAGTTCACTGTGGGGGATACCATTAGGTTATGTTTCATTGGAGAGGGCACGTTTTTAATAAGTTCCCAGGGAGATCCATTTTGCAGCACCCTCTGTGTGAAGGTGCAATTGGAAAAGAGGGAAAAATCTATCTAGGACAGCAAGACCCTCCTTTGGAGATGAGCCTTGGGATACACCCCAGGTTAGGAGGTCACTGAGGGGGTTTGGTTTTCCGCCTGTTTCATGTACCTGTGGGAAGACAGCTGAAACAGAAAAGCTGACAGCCACACCCCAAACCTGGGTGACCAGTGGCAGGTGACCAGCCAGTTACATCGGTGTTTCTGAACAGGACAGGAACGCATGGGTGGGGAGGCTGTGCTGTTCATCACGCTGGCTGAGGGCTGAGTGGGCCCGTTATTGTACCCCCATGGTGCAGTCTTGTCCTGGCGGGTTGCACACAGCACACACAGCAGGTGCAGGTTCCTGTAGGTGTGGATTACTGCCCTATGTCTTGGGGGAACACAAGCCTCATGGCTCCATGGGCCCCCGCTGTGTGCTGGCTCAGGGCTGTGGATGGAGAAACTGAACTCCGCTCCGGTGTCCTGTTAACTGTGCCCAACTCAGGGCGACCAGGCCAGCTCTGGTGGAGCTCAGGGTTGCCTGGGAGAGGCTGAAACTGTAGGGGGTCTCTCCTCACCCAACTCAGAGGGGACACTTTTCTTTTTGTTTCAGGGCATTTGCATGTGAAAGGCAACGAAGAAAAAATGTCCAAATCCTTAAAAAACTACATCACCATTAAGGTAACATTAGGCAGTGTGCTTTCCTGGGCAAGTGGAGTGACTGGTGGCCGCTTAAGTGGTTTAGGGGCCTCTGCATGGGCCACCCCAGGGACCCACTCTTCCTTGTCTAAAGGTCCACGGCATCCCCTGCAGGCCTTGCTGTTCTCTCCTGCTTGCTTCCGCCATGGTCCTGCCTTTCCTCTCCCCTTCCCAGAACTGCAGGGGTGAAGTGAAAGTGCCTGCTTCATTTCCTCCCTTGCCTCCACTCTGCTCCGTCAGGGGTCTCCAGGACTCACGGCCCCACGTGGGGAGTGCTTGCTGGATGTCTTGAGTGGAGCCTCTGTTCTCTGCTCACCTTTCCCACATTCTCTCCCATGGTGGCAACTTTCATCTCATTTTATTTTACTTTTTAAGATCTATTTATTTACTTATTTATTTATTTATTTATTTATTTATTTATTATGTATAGTGTTCTGCCTGCGTGTATGCCTTTATGCCAGACGAGGGCAACAGATCTCATTATGAATGGTTGTGAGCCACCATGTGATTGCTGGGAATTGGACCTCTGGAAGAGCAGCCAATGCTCTTAACTTTTTTTTTTAGAGGAAAACTATATTTTTTTAAAGAAAACCTTGTGGGGGGGGACTTAATTTAAGTCAAATCACATGGTTTTGTGGTAGAGCCGGATACAGTGTGCACAGATGCTCCCCAGGTCACAGGGAGGGAGCCCTGGTGGGCTCGCTCTCTGTGCCTGGGATTCACTCAGGGTCTTCTGAGGCTGAGGATGCTAGAAAGGCACCACCCAAAGCTGGGATCCAGGGAGGCAGAGACCTGTGGCTGGAAACAGCCATCAAAGCCAGCTCCTAACCTCTGAGCCATCTCTAGCCCTTCACCCCATTTTATAATTGTATTGGTCATATATTTTAAAATAATTTTTTAAAGGTTTATTTATTTATACAGTATCCTGCCTGTAGGCCAGAAGAGGGCACCAGATCTCATTACAGATGGTTGTGAGTCACCATGTGGTTGCTGGGAATTGAACTCAGGACCTCTGGAAGAGCAGTCAGTGCTCTTAACCACTGAGTCATCTCTCCAGCCCTAAAATAATTTTTTTGAGATTATAGTTACATCATTTCCCTCATCTCTTCCCTTTCCTCTATCCACCCCTCTCCCCCAATCAAATTCATGGCCTCCATTCCTTTGTTGTTATATATGTGTGCTTCAGGACCTATAACTACAGTCAGCTCAGTCTGCATGTTACTTGTCTGACCGTTGGTATAGGCTGGCCAGTTGGTGCGCTCCTCCCTGGGAAGACTGTTTCTCCTGCTCACAGCAACCCCTAGTTGCCTGTCATCTTTTGCGTATGGTTGAGGCTTCCGGTTCTCTTGCCTGTCCACGTTAGCATGTCCATTGTTGTCCTTGTTCAGATCGTGTGTTGACAGTCATCTGTAAGACCTGACAGCTGTAGCTTCTGTGACGTTTCAGGAGACTCGGTCTTATGGCAAGATCCCTCTTCCTCTGGCTCCTCAACTCTTTCTCCCCAGTCTTCCACAATGATCCCTGAGCCCCGGGTACAGGAGCTGTGTTGTAGATTGATCAGTTGAAACTGGGCTCCTTCTGTTATGGTCTCTGTCCATTACAAAGAGAAGTTTCCTTGATGAGGGGTGAGAATTATACTTAGCTGTGGGCATAAGGACAAATATTTAGAATGTAGTTAGGGACTGTGCTGGTTTCATAAAGAGGTCGGTGGTTTAGGTTCCCCTCCAAATCTGTGACTTTACTAGCCCTAGGTGACTGGCTAGGTTTCCAGTGCCAAGCAGGCCTACATCCAGCTGAGGAGAGCTGCTGGTTACCTCCAAGGCATGGGTATCACTATTGCACTCTTAGGGTTCCTGTGATCCATGGGCATTATAGCTGACTAGCACCATTGGTTGCTGGGTTCCTGTGGTCTGTGGGCATCACAGCTGGCTAGCACCACTGGTTGCCTCCTTCCTTTAGAAGCCTGCGTAATGCCTTCTGGTAATATGAAAGCTGATGTTCAGGGAGGAGGCTTTCAAGTCAAGTCAATAATTTCAAGGTACCCAGCAGGGACGTATCTGCTGGGTGTCATAAAATTAGAGCATTGTCAGTGGTCAGGGAATGTTGTATGAGGAGCAGCGGGCTGTGTTCCCGCTGCCCAGCTCCTGGCCATCTGGCTAGCTTAACCCCGAAATAACAACACACAAATTGTGTTTCATTTAAACACTGCCTGGCCCATTAGCTCTAGCTTCTTATTGGCTAGCTCTTACATATTGATTCAACCCATTTCTAATAATCTGTATCGCTACTTGACTGTGGCTTACTGGGATGAGTCTGACCAGCGTCCGTCTTGGAGAGGAGAGCCATGGCGTCTGCCTGACTCTGCTTTCTTTCTCCCAGCATTCTGTTCTATCTACTCCGCCTATCTAAGCTGCTGTCCTATCAAAAGGCCAAGGCGTTTCTTTATTTGACCAATAAAAGTAACACATAGAAAGAAGACCCTTCTACACCAAGGGAACAGTACCATCACGTGGGCTGGGCAGTCCAACCCTGAGTCTGGGTGTCAGGTTGTCCTGCCCTCGCAAGAGCTGTTGTACTCACTTCTCTTTCACACTGTCCCCGTCAGTCACCAGGCCCCCTGGTAACAGTCAGTTGCCCATCTCATGCCAATGTCAGGTATGGGGCTCCAATAGTAGAACTTATTTCCCAGGCTTGTCCACAGGAGTGTTGGGTATCCCCCTCGGCCCTTCCCGTGGGTATGAAGATGACCGTGGAATGGGGTGAATGATGGACAAGTCGCTGGGGAATCAGGGATGGTGAGGGTTGGGCGAACACCTCCCAGTTCCTGCTCTCTGCTCTCCCCTGCATCACCATGGCCGGTGCTGCAATCCTGAGTGACAGCTGCTGTCTTCCGTTTCTAGGACTTCCTGCAGACCTTCTCCCCTGACGTCTTCCGGCTTTTCTGCATGCGCACCAGCTATAGGTCAGGTGAGCTGGCTCTCATGTGCCTGGGGAGGCAGAATGTGCGCCTGTGTCAAGTCCATCCAGGCAGTGTGCTTGCTGGCTTGCCCCAGGTTTATTGGAGAAGTGAGCCTGGGCAACACAAGCTCAGTGCCCAAGGCAAGGCTGCTCTCCCCAGCGTCGACTGTTCTGTCTGCCCGTCTATGCACATCACTGACGTGAGCCCTGTTGCCCAGACGGTTCTAGGACAGCTTTGGCTGGAACCCATTCAGGGGCAGGACCCATATGCTCAGGCAGCCCTCTGACCACGGCGCTGTCTTCCACTGGTTTCTCAGGTACTGTGTGCTTCAGGGCGCACTGGGCATCTCCTCGGTGACCATCTCTTCCTTTGCAGCCATTGAATACAGTGACAGTACCCTGCTGGAAGCCAAGCACCTCCTGCTGGCGCTGACCTCTTTTGTAGAGGATGCACGAGCCTACATAAGAGGGCAGCTGACCTGTGGCCCTGTTGGCGAAGATGTGCTGTGGGAGAGGTAAGCAGGTCCTACCTACTCACTGCCACTTTAGGACAGGTAGCCAGAGCGAAGAGGCCACCAGCAGCACCTGAATGAGGCAGCCTCCCCTCCTGCCAGCTGTCAGCCCCTCGGGAGCTGGCATCTCGTCATCCGCACTCCCTCTGCTCCTGAGCCCTGCACACGGTGGTCGTCTAGAGTTGGGAATGTTTCCATCTTGGTCCGGTGGCTCACAATTGCCACATTTGATAGGGAGGGCTGTCACATCTACAGCTGACTATTACAGAATCACCCAGGTGGCTCCACATTTGATAGGGGGTGCTGCACATCTACAGCTGACTATTACAGAGTCACCCAGGTGGCTCCACATTTGATGGGGGGGCTGCACATCTACAGCTGACTATTACAGAGTCACCCAGGTGGCGGCTGTGCACTCATTGTGGGTAGGCTCCCTTCACTCAAAAGGTTTTTTATTTGGCTAAGGTGGTAGCTAGAGATTTTGTTATAAAACAGTAAACATTCTTACTTCTGGGGAAAGATGTTTGTGTATTCAGAGTTGGTGGCAGGCCAGCCTAGGGCACCAGAGAGCTGCTGGAGAGCCCCATACCTGCCTCATCGCCACAGGTGACTCCTGTATCTCACTCCAGGCTGAGCATCACCAAAAAGGCCGTGAAGGCTGCGCTAGCCAATGACTTTGACACGCCGAGGGCAGTGAACGCCATCCTGGACCTTGTGCACCAAGCCAACAGACAGCTTAGAGCAGTCTCGAAGGTAACGTGAATGCTATGGATGTCAGGGCCGGGGTGAAGGCGGGGCGGCTAGTCCTAGGGAAGGAATGGCCCCTGATTCCATCAACCATCTAGACTTGTCTCCCAAAGCTGGTAGTTTGGGGGCAGCTCCCGTCTGTGAGACGTCACAAGCTTGGCCTGCGACACGTTTGGGTCCCTTCATTCAGTAGTAACGTGAACAAGGCAGCGGGTGGATCAGCTCTAGCTCCTGATATGGAGATGGTTGTCGTATGGCTGCCACCCTGAGTGCTGAGTATCCTTCCTGGTGGCCTCGAGGCACCTGGAGGGATCTGTCTGTTGAAACAGGAAGGTGGATTGACTACGTCACTCAATGGTGAAGTGTTTGTCTAGCACATACAAGGCCGTGAGTTCAATCCCCGGGACCCATCACCTCTCTCCAAAAAGAAAACCTCCCAACAATGAGAAGCTGTCTGCTGGGACCTGGACTCAGATACTGCCCAGCTGAGTCTCAGGCCACCTGATCCAGCCTTGTGGAGGGTGGCTCCAGGTGGCCTTGTAGTTTTGGATTCTTGAGTGACACTGTCAGCACCACAGGTGGGCACTGTGTCTTGACATGCGTCTAGGGGTTCTAGGTACTTTCCCTTAGTCCCTTGCCTGGTCACTACATGGCTGAGCATTCAGTCCCAGATTGTTCACGCTCATATTACACACACCGGGTCAAACCAACCATACTCGGGGAAGCTGGCTGTGGGTGATCCCAGAGTTCCTGAAACCTGCCCTCAGCCTTCACTTCATTTCCAAGGGCCACTTCCTGTGAGTCCCACACCACTTGGCCGCCTCTGGGGGCTCCTCTAGGGGGAAGGAGAACACACCTTATTAGGGAACAGGTTGGCACTGCCATTCCAGGAATGAGGCTTGGCATTCCAAGGGTCTCTGAGTCAGTCAACAAACACCAGACTTTCCAGGATTCCCTAGTTTTCTGCTCAAATCCAAGACCCACAGTTCCTATTACCTTCCCTCTACCATGCCCTGCACTGTACCCGTGGCTGTGCTTAATCCACAGGACCTAGATTCGCAGGTACTGCCATGGTATAAAAGGCAGGCGGAGACACACAGTACCAGCTCACCTGGACTGTAGCGTTTGCCAGTGAGCCTAACTGTGCAGGAGCCCACAGAGGCCAAAGCAGAGACGCTCTGACCTCCTCCATCGTCTTGCAGGAAGCTGGTGGTCCAAGAAGTCCCACTGTGTTTGGTGCCATCATCTCCTACGTTGAGCAGTTTTTTGAGACCGTTGGGATTTCTCTGGCAAATCAACAGGTACATCCATCTCAAATGCTTTGTTCTGAAACTGCTGACCTGTTGCACACTGGCCACTCTCCTTTGGAAAGTGTTGCTAAAGTGGAGGTCACTCCACCAGTGACCAGCTTGCAGCAGAGCGAGTCAGCCTAGGTCCTACAAGCTGATACTCCAGAGTACAGAAAGGTCACATGAAGACATTCTCCTGAGCCGTATGAGATGGCAGTGGCATGGGTGGGTCCCTTGTCCCTACAGTTGGCATCTCTCTGGTTGCAGGAGGCCCGCTGGCTTCCCCCCCCCCCCATCTGCTGGGTTTCTGCACAGCACAAGTCCAGTTGCTGGAAAAATTCTGCCTTCCCAGACCTTGATGTAAGCCAGCTGTGTGGGAGGTCTCATCTGCCTATGTGGTGACGGCTGTCCCTGGCAGGAATGCTAGGGCCAGACCCTGGCTGTCCCTTCCTGTGATGTTCAGTTGTATCAAGTAGATAGGGCAAGGCTACCAGTTCTTCCACAACCCCCTTCTCCCTTCTAAGTGGGAGAGACCTTGGTCCTATGAAGCCAGCCTGGTCCACAAGGAACACAAAAGTCTTCTATCTACTTAATTCCAGTTCAGTTAAGCATGGCTTTGGGGCTGGCCATGTTCCCTGTTGTGTCCCATCACCCAATCCATGCAGGTCTCTCAGTGCGTAGAGGTGAGGTGTGTGCATCCAAGCACACGTGATTATATCTAAGTTGGCTACTGCACCTATGGCTCCACTCAGCCCCAGTCTGCCCTGTTCTCACCAGGGAGAAGCCCCCAGTAGCTACACAGGTCAGCTCCTCTCTAGGTGGTCCCTCCTCTGTGCACACGTCATTTTGCTGGTACTCTTTGGCCCCATGCATGGATGTCACTGTGGGTTCTAAAGTGCCCCTTTCCCCCTCACTCACTGTGCCTCTGCTGTGCCTTCAGCTTTAGGGCTGTTCTGGAAGGACAAGGCAAGGGCTCAGAGCCACCCACCCTCCCAAAGCATTCTCCATGCACAGGACTAGAGCCAGAGTGTCAACTCTCCAGTAGTGGTACTCCTGCCAAGGCTTCTGTAGTCCTTTCTAGGGCCTCTTGTTGGCTTGTTTTTGCCTTAACAGGGGACCAGCTTTGGGCCCATCAGCCACAGTATATAGCTGGACAGATGGCTTTATGGGAGCTCATTATGTGCACACGCACACAGGGTGGGCTATCTCACATCTACACTGGCTTACATGCTTGGCTATAGCAAAAAGGGTTGTCTTCATTTGTGCTTAAGGCTTGGGCTGCTAGACTCTCCTGAGACGTCAGGATTCTGCCGATACTTGTCACATCTACAATTGATGCTGAGGCCTAGACGGGATCAAAGTAGGTGTTACCATCTTAGCCTGAGCCAGTGAGAGAATGAAGTGTTTCTCAGAGCCAGGCTGGTGCTAGCTAGCCTCATTCACCCTCCAAGATTCCCTAGAAAGATCCAGCATTAGGAAACTGATAAAGACAAGACCCAAGCAGGTCTCAGCCCAGAACCTAGTTGAGTGTGGTCTCCCAGACTGTGGACGGGGGACCCTGCCTTGCTGGGCATACTCATGTAGAGGAGGCTCAGTGTGTTTCAGGAGACAGTGGCTCAGCAGCTCTGCACTGTGTGGTGGATGAACTTGTGCGCTTCAGGCTGAAGGTCCGCCAGTACGCACTGGCCACGCCCGGGGTGACTGGGGAGGCCCGGAGACAGCAGCTCCAGGAGAGGCAGCCCTTGTTAGAGGCATGCGATGCCCTGCGCCAGGACCTCGCCACCCACGGCATCAATATTAAGGTTAGTAATACTGCAAATATAGGGGACACCAATGTCACAAGACAGTGGCCAGTCATCCAGTTTCTGAGAGAGATGGCAGATGCAGAGAGACGTGGAAGGCAGGGTATATAAGCTGTAAGAACTGCCAAACTCCACCCATGCGGGCAAGGAGCTGGCTCCCTCTCCTGGCATCCCACTGCTACCTCCAACTTCACTTTCTGACCTGTCTCCTTGAGTAAAAGGAGGCCAAACCTATCAGAGCCTTCTCCTTCAGGACAGAGGCAACACAACCTCCACTTGGGAACTTCTGGACCCACGGACGACACACCAGAAACCTGGAAGTCGAGGATGAGACAGCTGCAGTCCCACATGCCGCCATGCCATGGCGCCTGCTCTTGTGATGAAAACTTTATATTAAAGTTGCAATTGTGGCTGTTTAGCCAACAGTAAAGTGAGCCTGTGCTGCCTGCTGTGTGCTCACAAGTGCCTGGAAAGTTAATAGAGCAGAGCCATGATGGCCACATTCTCAACATTCCTAGACATGGCTAGCTGGCCCCGTGACAAAGGACTAGATGGCACAGGGGAGCCAAAGAGCAGAAACCTGTTAACTAGGCATGCAGCTGCCAGGCCACACTAGGGAGGGAGGCTCAGTAGGCAGTGAGGAGGCCACAGTGAGCAGCAGGGACACAGACACAGGTGACAGTTCTCCCTGCCATGCCCAAGTGCCAGTGGCACCCAAGTCTCCTGCCCTTCCCACAGGCCTCTAAGATCTTCAGGTGCCTGGTCACTGATCATTCTGAACTACTTCATCAAGTTAACACCCAGCCCCTGAGTAGAGAACTATATGGCCTGAAAATGTCCACGGGGTCCGTGAACCTCGGTTAAAACCAAACCCTGCACCCACCAGCCACCCAAACACTGGAGCCCTGTGAGGGGTGCCTAGTGATGGAAGGGAGCGAGAAGCAAAGAACAGACTCCAGTGTGCCAACTGGGAACGAGCCCCACCCAGGTGGGCTGCTGGGAGATCTTTATTCTCACTTTCTCCTTGTTACTGCCAAGAAGCCAAGAAAACTGCACAAGAGCACATTAGTGTCCTAACACCTAACACCTCAACTCTATTTAGTCAGGATGGACGCTGTGTCCTAAATTCTCTGTCTGCTAGTTTAGGCTCAGTACGTGGAGGACAGTCTGTGGCACCCTTCGGTTGGCACTGGCTTAGGTCGCGAAGAGCTTACTGAAGGCAGGTCCTACTTCGGCGATCATGTCGGTGGTGGTTGTGGAGCGCCCGTACTTCTGGAAAGCCTGATGGTTACACTCCCTTGTGAGGGTGCAAGCACCCCAGGCAGCCACCAGTAGTGGGCTGACGCTGTAAGACAAGAGCAGAATCAAAGGCTTCATCGTAGGCCCTGTCAAGAGCTCTGGGCTCTGACTTTCCACCCACTTTTACCTTCAACTCCCAAATAGCAAGCTCATGCCAGCTGGGCCCTAAGAAGACAGCTTTACTGCAGCTGAGCCCCGACACCTGCATTTGTGACTGGCGTACAACTCAGTGGCAGATCACAGGCCTAGGGAGCACTAGGAGGCCCTGGGTCCACCCTGGACATGGGCTGGAACCCAACAGAGAGAAGCAGCTCTTCCTGGTGTGAGAGGCGCTGGTGCTGAGGGCTTTGACAGCATTCACTGGTTTTCTTAGTGTGGCAGGACACCTGAGGGCAGCATGCAGACCCCTACTCCACTGCACACCCCATCTTGGGCTAGAGAACAAACTAGAACCGCCCTTTGTGCCACTCCCCTGCAGAACTGAGCATCCCATACCTAGCACGTGTGGCCATAATGGTCCACAGGACAAATCATGTGTGGGGAATCTATGAGCTTAGCATCCTGCTGCCTCAGAGATCACACACCTATGAGGACCAGTGCCCAGGAAGGCCATCCCTCCGCCCTGTCTGCTCTCTACTTCAGTTTATAGAAGCCACTGCTGAATTTTCCACAGTGGTGCCCTGAACCAACCATGGCCGCCAGGGCCGCACCCTCAGCTGATAGGTTTGGGCCTAGCATGTGTGTGGACAGGGGCGCCTTGGAAGCAGATGTCTCCCACGGAGCACTGATAGTTCACCCAGGCGGGACACTGCAGGAATTTGACACGTGAGCTGACCGCATTAACAGTATAAGAGCAGGACAAAGAACGGTGCCATACCCATTTGTTCTCTCTGGTCCAGCAAGGAGGGCCCAGTGCGCCATGACACCCAGGGAGCCTGACAGGAGGTCTCCTTGGCCCCCACACCTGCGGCTGCTGCCTTCCTGGCTGCACACAAGCACTGTCAGGACAGACACGAGCAGGCATTAGTACCAACACCGTGAGCTGCCCCCTGCCCCAGGACAGACACGACAGGCATCAGTACCAACACCGTGAGCTGTCCCCCCTTCCCCCGCTTGTTCCAAGGAGGCCCTTCCACCCCAGACCACAAGGATGAGCTCCTGAGAAAACAGTGCTGCAGGGCATAGCCTGAGCCCAGCCCAAACGCCATTTCCACACGTCTCCAAATCCCCACCAGCAGCATGCCCAGGCACCCCACTTGGATCCTCCCACTAACCACTATATACCTGTGCATGTGAAAATGGTTTCCATAGGAAACGTTTTTAAACCTGGTGCTGCATTTGAGTGTGCTGGCATCAGGAGTGCCTTGTCACTATGGTCTGGTTGCCCTGAGACCATTCTGTGCCATTTCCTGTTCTGGCTGTGGGTAGGTATGTGTGTGTTCACATACATGACCATGTGTCCTTTGGTGTTCTAAAGACACTAAATTCAGGTTTCTGTCAATGACTCCATATCTCCCTAACAGCTACTTGAACTGAACAGTATTATGGTGGCCTGGCTATCCCTGAGAGCGCAGAGTGGCAGACTTACTAGGAACACCCACACTCCTTCCTGCCTCCACTCTGAGCAGCCCTTCAGCTCCTAGGGAAAGGCAACTGACATTTCCAGCGAATGCCAGTGCTGAGGTTTCCTTTACTTGCTAGTTATAATAAGACAAAATTCAACAAAAGACCCAGATGACTGCTATTATGTGTGGGCGCCTTACTGAAAGGGAGGTGACAGGTAGAGATGGCAGCTCAGGACTATGCATTTTCTTCCTGAAAATGTTTTTATTTCTGTGTGTGCATGCGCACATGTGCGCACATACATGTGTGCTCGAGTGTGTACCACACTTGGCTGGAAATGGTTTCAAGTCAGTCAAAGTGCAAGGTCTGTGACCCTTGCTAAGCCTGCAGTAAAGGCCCAAACATCCTTGTGTCCCCACGTCCCCATGCAAACCTTTAGGAGCGCACAGAGGCCGTGGCTGGCAAGTTAAATATGTACCAACAGGTATGAATCAACATGAGGCTTCCAGGTTATGTCTGCATGACCACCGAGTGGCATGGAAGGTCCCCACTCACCCTGCTGACCATCGGAGATCAGGTCATGCTCTCCTTTCTGGACCACTGTGATGTTCCCCAGGGCCTGGCTGAGCTTCAGTACGGACCCACTGTGGCTTTGGGTGTCCATGGGACTACTGAGCTACAACACAAGCACAGAAATAAGTCCTGGACACACAGGGTTCACAGGAGGCAAGGTGATCACTCATCCAGTCTATCAGAAGTCTCAGATGCTCATGCCCACAGAAATCAAGGGCACTGGCTAAGGGCTCAGGGGTAAGAATAGGAAGTGGCCAGGACATCCCTGATACCAGAACCTCCAAGGGATGCTGACACCAACGCTTAGTCTCAACTTGTCCTCCCCTCCCTGACTAGAGCAGGTTGTAGAAACAACACAAATTTGGATGCTGCTGTTGTGCGTGCCCCTCCCCCACAGAGAGCACAGGCTTTGGGACACGTGCCATCAGGACTAATAGCTTCATTTTATTTCATTCTGTCCCCATACCCCGTGGAGCAGAGGCTGTAGGTCAACTAGCACTTGAGGACGGAGTGACTTGGCCTGTGACCACAGCAGGCAGTCCCTGGCTCAAGCCCACCACACCATCATTCATCCAATAAAATTTATATGGGAACTACAGGAGGCATGAGAAGCATGTGTGGTAGAGCCCAGGGCAAACATCTCTAGGGATCTGCACACCGGCCTCCCTGCAGAGACAGGCCCATGCCCTGAGATGGGCACAGCCCTGGAGCTCACTTCACCCCAGATCAGGTTCCTCCTTCCCCAAAGCCCATGAACTCACCACAGCTTCCCAGAGCCTGCCGAACTCCACACGGTTGGGGGTGAGAATGGCCTTCTGGTAACTGTGGATGAGGGTCGGCTGCTGAGCTATCAGCCACAGGCCATCCTGTGCAGAACAAGGACGCACCTTCACCGGTGGGTCTCAGAGACCCTGTGCTGACTGTGTGGGGAGATGAGAGGCCACACTCACCGCGTCGATGACAACAGGGATGTCCCTGGCCTTGCTTGCTTCCAAAATGCCCTGCCAGAAAAGCAGACAAGCTGAACAATGTAGAGGGCAAAAGGCCCGGGCACACAGCTAAGCACTGGAGAAGCCAGGGAAGTTGGACAAGCTTACCCTTCAGTGGAAGGAAGGGTTTAGTTGCTCCCCTTGGAATGTCAGGAACAGATGTGGTTTTACAACCTGGTGATCTTTTGCTGTCTGAGACAGGCTCTGCCATGTCTCCCAGAATTTATGGTTTACTCATCCTAGACCCTTTCCCCCTAAATCTCAAGCATTGCTTCTAGGCCATAAAACCCATCCTCATGAGTGAGGTCACTTGTACTTTACGGCAGCCTGAGTGACTCTATGTTACTTAGGGCCAGGCCATCCTGACACCACAGGCCCTATGTTTACCTCCATCAAGCTCCCTAGACTGTAAATCTTGGGCACTATCTTCAGTACCCATTTTTGTGAAAAAAGCCAGAAGGACTTTGTAAAGACTCTCAGTGTAAACATGTCTTAAATTGTTGTGCACTTGGGCTGAGGTCATTGTTATCTGAATTTTTTCCCCCAAAATTGTGCTGTGCTTAAATATGGCTCAAGTAAAATGATCTGGGCCAGAATCCAAGAGTCTTGGGCCCCAGCACCGGTTACCAAAATCGGGCTATTTCGTTCTTTTCTCACCCCAGTTGCTTCCTGGCCTGCTGGAAAGCCTGCAGGGGACCCTCCCACAGAACAAGTGCATCTCCCCAAGAGGAGGAAGGAGCTGGCAGTGCTTATGTGGTCACAGGCAAGCAAACAGTACAGCCAATTATAAAACAGTAGGGGCAGAGCCAGCACGGCTCCCAGGCCAGCTCACCAAGCGCCCGGCTCATGCCACACTGCAGTACTTGATTTTTGGGGATTCTCCAGATCAACTGTTACCCATCTTTCTACTATTTTACACATATGCTTTTAAACAGCAGGTGATCATAACAGTGAACCCTTTTCCCACAGGACTGGCCCTTAGTCCTCTCCTGAAAGCCTCAAAGACTTCCCATTTAAAAAGTACAGATACATATTAATCAATGTCCTGTTAATTATCAACTAATATGCTACAAGAAAACTACATATGGCAATCAGATGGGCCAGTAAAATGGCTCACAGTAAAGGTGCCAAGCCTCTATAGGGTGGTAGGAAAACTGACTGCTGGAAGTTGACCTCTGACCTCCACCCATATGCTGTGACGTGCACATCCACAAATGCAGCGTGTGCACACAAATACATTTTTAAGATTAAAAGAAAAAAGTGATAAACAGACAAGTAGAAAACACAAGGAGACGAAGTAAGTGTAACTGGGGCCTGACACCCGGGGCCGTTGTTTCCTGAGTGTCCTAGTTAGGGTGACTTGTCTAGGAAGCACAGAAGAAGAGAACTTGGGGAGGAAAGGGTTTATGTGGCTGCACTTCTGCATGTTAGCCTAGCACTGGAGGAAGTCAGGGCAGAAACTCAAACTGGATAGGACCTGGAGGCAGGAGCTGATGCAGAGGTCGTGGAGAACTGGTTTGCTTTCTTTGTTTTTTGAGACAAGGCTGTGAAACAGTCCTGGCTGTCCGGAATTCACTCTGTAGACCAGACTGGCCTCGAACTCAGAGATTCACCTGTCTGTGCCTCTCAAGTACTGGGATTAAAGGCGAGCGCTACCACCACTGCCCAGCCTCGGCCTGCTTTCTTACAGAACTCAGGACCACTACCCTGGGGTGGCACCACCCACAATGGGCTGGGTCCTCCCCCATCAATCAGTAATTAAGAAAATGCTGTACAGACTTGTGCACGGATTGATCTGACGAAGGCATTTTCTCAATTCCGACTTCCTCCTCTCTGATGACTCTAGCTTGCATCGAGCTGACACAGAACTGTCAGCACACCAAGGAAAGTGCCAGCATAGGAAATGTACATTTTGTCTGGCACTGGCCCATGGGTTCCAAGTAGAGGCACAAGAACAGGACACATGGGTCCCAGAGAAGCTCATTTCCTCTCTTAACAATACTCCAGCTTGCTGGCTGTGTCTTCGGCTTTCCTGTCAACCCACTGGGTCTGCCATTCAGATCTAGGTTCACGTCTGATTTCAGGCTATTTGGTAATGTGACACCAAGGTCTCTTCAGTTTCCCTAATAAAGCAGAGTAGCAGCCCAAAGCTATCACCTAAGCACTGGAAAGGTTCACCCCAGCACAAGCCGGGGTTCTCTCAGAAGGATGAGTGCCAGCACCCCGGAGCAGAGCGATGTGAAGGTGTGTGTGTGAACATTTAAAATATCACTCGTGGGCGTGGCGGCACTCGGGAGGCAGACTCATCACTTACAAAGAAACAGCTCGAGAAGTCTAACAGTAAGTACACAGTTCTAATACAGCTATTAAAATAGTCTGGAAGTGAGAGCCAGGTGCACTCGCAGGAAAGCATCTGCAGGACCTACAGAACAAGCTGCAGAAGAAACATGGCGTGATGACCGAGCATTCTAGATAGCATGGGTTCAAAGCCAGCCTGCGGATGAGAAACTTCATCTACAGGGTCAACACATCCCTCCTGCAGCCCCAGCCTGCTCTGCAGATCAGGAGGCTGACTGATCCTCAGACGGCAAAGCCCAGGCTCCAGCAGACAGAGTCCCAGGTGCACCGTGAGGGTACCGAGTTCAGGACACTGTGAGCTCGGAAGGAGAGGCCTGACACACTGCAACATGAACTACAGGTGCAACAACATGCTGCCTAGGCACACAACAGCACACAACTCAATTTCTCTCAGGAAACTTCTGTAACTGAGAGCTCCAGAGACAGAATCAGCACCAGGACCCCAGCAAGCAGGGTTACACTAGAAGGGACATAAACCTGCTGCACCTGCTGCTCCCTGGAACTGAACAGGAAACCCCACACCAGCCTCTACTGTCTGTGGCTGCTCGTACGAAACCCTGGAGCCAAGAGACTCGTCCTATCTGCTGGGCTCTGGAAGACCCTCACACCACTACTGGTTGCCCCAGCTTCCCCTCTGCCACACAACACAGCTCCGTCCACTTCCAAGATGAGGTCCAATGACCAACAACAGGCAACTGAGTCTGAGGAACAAAAGAAATGCTTGTGCGCAACACTGTTTCTGAGAGGCAGAGTGCATAACAGTGATACCACTTACCCTGACATTGTTGAGAAGAAGGTCATCCCTACCTAGGCCAGGGCCCACAACAAGGGCATGCAGTCTGGGGAGCCATTTCTCCACCTCCTCAACAGCATTAGAACTGTCACTAAAATAGAAAAAAGACAGAACGGTTTCTCAAGGCTCCCATTAGCTTATTTTAAACCACTGTGTGTGTGTGTGGTGCTGAGGACTGAACCCATGACCCTGCGCATGTGAGGGAAGTACCCTACACCAGTCGACATCCCAACAGCTTGTACCACAGTAGGGAAGGTCCCACAGTTCCCTAGCCACTGCTCCCACGAGCACCCTACGTATGCACACTCCAGAATACCACAAGTGAGGGTTCAGCTCTGAGCAGCTGACCCACAGTCCCATCCTGTCCCTGTCCCAGGATGCAGTCTGGACCCCACCGTGCATTTGACCCTTGCATCTCCTCAGTCTTCTCCATGTACTGATTTATTTTTATTTTAGCTTTTTTTTCTTTCCAAAGTCTGTGTAGTCCTGGCTGTCCTAGAACTTGCTTTGTAGACCAGGCTGGCCTTGAACTCAAGAGATCCACCTGCCTCTGACTCCCTAGTGGTGGGATTAAATGCCTAGCAGCTTGTTTTAGCATTTAAAGACTGCTTTTGTCTGCATGTCTGTCTGTGCACTACATGTGTACCTAGTACCTGCAGAGGTCAGAAGAGGGCATCAAATTCCTTCAAACTAATGTTATGGATGGCTGTGAGTGCCATGTGGGTACCTGGAATAGAACTTGGGTCCTCTGCAAGAGCAGCTGGTGCTGTCACCTACTCAGCCACCTCTTCAGCCCCACTTTATTTTTATAGTGGGCAAAGTGGAACAAAAAGAATGATCCTGTCCTGAGCTCCTTCAGCTGAGTTTCAGTCCTTGGTGGCACTACCCAGGGTGACATGTGAAGTTCTGGGGAGTCCCTGAACAGGTTCTGCTCAGCTCAGAGGTACCCACTGAACCAAGCTGAACAGAGCTCAAGCACTGTGAGCACTGCCTCAGGCACCCCTGCTCCGCACACTACACGACACAGCACCTGTCCCCCCACCCCCATGTCCCAGGTCCCCCCTCTAGCCCTCTCACTGTCTTATGCTGATGCACAATGATGGACTCAATGATTTTCTTTTCTTTAATGGTGCTGGGGATCAAATCTCCACTTTGTAAACTACATCCTAAACCTTTTAAAAGTTTTATTTGATAGGGCTGTTTGCTGTCCAAGCTGGCCTCCAATTACAAAGTCTCTGGTCCGAGCCCTAGCTGGGGAGAAAGGTGTGAGCTACAAGGCCCAGCCCCATTAGACTTCTCTATACTCCATGTAGCACCCAGAGTACAGCAGACACACAGTGTGAAAATTCTCCTGCAGGTAAAGACACCCACAGTGCAGACTCACAGGACAGGGTGGACAATCAGCTCTGGGCTGTAGGACTTGATCACTGGCGCAGCCTCCCTGGCACAGAACACGTGGGTCAAATCTGCACCCTGAAATAAAATCAGAGGTGGGCTTAGAGAAGGCCATGGTCAACAGGACCAACCACGAGAGGCTGTCACGTTCTGCACTAAAAGGTAAACTCCCCTGTGATAGGGTCTCTCACTGAACCTGAAGCTAGGCTGGTGGTCAGTAAACCTCAGGGATCCTCCTGTCTCTGCCTTCAACAATGCTGGGGTTACAGGCATGAATGGCCATGCTGGGCTTTTTGTGTGTGCTGGGAATGTGAACTCAGGCCTTCATGAGTGTATTTCAAGTATTCTTACACAGTGTCATCTCTCCAGGTCCCTAAATAACTCAATTTTTAATCAGAGAAACCCCAATAAAAGACTCTGAGGTAAACCTACCACTTTCAGAGCCGAGATTCCTGCAAAATATGGTGCTCCTGTGTACCTAAAATGGAAACACTGGAGTCAGGACTGTGAAGCGACACGTCTGCCAATAACAGGTCACCAACACAAGATAAGAAGAATATGTGAGTAGGTATGAATCAGAAGTGATACAGACTCCAGGCCCCAAACATGAAGTCAGCATGCAGGAGATGCTCAGTAAACATTCACACAGAAGTCAGAACTAGAGACGCTCCACACGACACCTGTGGCCATTTCTCAACACTGGCTGTGTGACTCTGTACCAGGTATAAGACAGGGCTAGCTAGCTGCAGGTTTCTCTAGGGGTCAAAGCAGTCAGCAGAGATAGGTCCTCAGAGTAGAGGAGCCCTGTCTTCTATGAGCAGCACCAGGAGAAGCCGTACAGGGTCACTGCACCCTGCTGTGTGGTTCCCAGTTTCTTGTCTAAGCTCTTGTGGCCCGTGGCAATCTCATGCTCGGCATGGTGCTCACATACAGAGTCACTGTGCTCATTGCCACTGGTATATGTTGTCACCCATGACCCCCACCCTCCAACAAACCAGGGACAAATGCTGAGCACACAGAACCCAGGCCCATTCTCAAACATGTGACCTGCTCTTCCACAATGGTGTCGACAAAGTGTGTCCAAATCACCAGAGAAGGGACCACACACGCTCTCCCTTTCCCACAGACAGGTGTTTCACAAGACCCTGCAGAATGGACAAGGGCCCACAGGAGATCACATTCACACAGCACACGGGAGCCACCAGGGAAGAGAGGACAGTTGGGATGGTAACAGAGGCCAACAGATGAGGAGCGGCTAGCCAGACTAATGGGACATTCCAAAGCCACACCCCAGACCTGCCTGGGAGGAACTGCGGTTTCTAGAGCAGATGGTCTGGGTGAGCAGAGTGCAAGATGACAACACTTAAAATGTAAACAAACGGGGTGCAGACGGCATGATCTCCCCAGGTTACCACAGCACGCACTACCACTGCTTCTGGGAAGCCTACAGCCAGCCAGTCACCAGCACAGTACACAGGGAGCCTGCTGCCAAAGCACTGCCTGTGAGGAACCAGAGAGGGCAGGAGCACAAACACCAATGCGCCCACAATACACACACCTAAATTCACCAGCTAAGAAGCTCAACTGGAATTCTTTGTTTTTTGAGACAGGGTTTCTATGTGTAGTCCTAAGCTGTCCCAGAACTAGGTCTGGAGATCAGGCTGGCCTTGAACTCACAGAGATCGGCCTGTCTCAGCCTCCCAAGTGCTGGGATTAAAGGTGTGCGCCACTATTCCTTGGCAAGCTGAGAATTTTGAATCCAATTATGAATGCAAATTCATAGGGAAAAGCAGAGCTGGTGGCTGGAACCGCTCAGCAGTTCTGTTAAAGCTCTCACCAGCTGCTTTGCAAACTGTGAAGCACAGCGGTATGTGGAAAAGTGCACGCAGGCTGGATTTCCAAGTAGGAAGGCATTTCAGACTACTCAAAGGAGAAGCTAAGAAGATAGAAATACAGAAGGAAACACAGGGTAAGGTAAACGATGAAGAGCAAAGCTAAATGGGATTCCACCTGTGATCCCAGCACACGAGGATGAGACAGGGAGACTGAGAATTTGAGGCTAGCCTGGTGGGACACTGTCTCAAGAAAAATAATGGAGCTATACATCTACAGAGAAATGACATGGTGGAGGCAGACTCCCAGACAGGAACAAGGGAAGAACTGGGACCAGAGGCAGAAGGACTCACACATAAGGACAGATTACAGATCCTTACACACCAAACACAGCCACAAAGTATGAAGAAGATAAAATGAGTCTCAGCAAAACTAGGATCTTAGGAGAGTCATACACGACTACACGCGTGCAGTATGGAAACCACGCAAAAGCCTGTAAAAAGGTCGCACAGGCCCACAGGCACTCATAGACGCTCACAGGAGCCCACAGCACTACACACAGGACATGGACACGCCACCAGGCTGAGAGCACCGACAGCACGGCAGCGCTAACACTCACTGTGAGGGAGTCAGCGGGACTCCCCAGACTTTACTTAGTCAGAGAGGTGGTCGGTGAGGAGTGCTCTGCATCCTGCCAGACTGCATTTGGAAATATCACTACACACGGATGGATGGATGGACAGACGGACTGATGGGGAAAGGAAGGTAGGTGCAGAGATGGAAGGCAGATGTAGACAGACAGGCAGGAGGGGGTGGCCTTTATAAACATGACTGTCTTACAGCCAGCACTCACTCTTGACAGCCCCCGACGATGCCTATTCTTCCGTCTTGCCCTTTGTGTTTCTTCGAGGTTAGAGCAGGCACAATGTTTCTCACCAGCTGAAAAAAATTCTCCATGTCCTTTGTCGAGTGTGCTGTATGGAGGGAGAATGCTCTTTGTAAAACTGCAAAACAGAAAAATGAAGTCATTAGAGACTTAAGAGTAACCACCATCTAGCGTGCGTCCCAAAGCTGCCCACAAGAACTCTCGATTGTATCTGGAGGCGTCACTCTCAGTTCTGCGGTAATGGTGGTCAGGTGTCAGCAGAGCAGCAGACACTGTACGCCAGGCTTCTGTAATGTACAGCATTTGTGGGGACCTTCATCAACCTAAAACTGGAACCACCACTCAACACACCGTCTTCTCTCATTTCAACCCCAGCCTTTAAAGTCGGGAGGGCTCTTCCTCTGTTCATGTCTGGAGAGCACGCTCCCGCTCCTGGCTACGACCCTGTGCTGTAGTCACATCTATCCGATTATTCCCAACTGCATCTCAATACTCATCAGATACTAATCAGATCGCCTGGGAAGGCTCTAAACACAGCGCATCTTAGGCTCAAGGCGCACTGTGGAGCAGCTGCACCACGCAGAGTTGTGTCTATCTACCTCCATTTTAACTGGCTTTTCTTGGAAAACTTCCTTAGATGTGAGTTTTGTTATGATATCTACAACAGATCAGCTGTAAGGAAATGTTAGTATATGCCACAGAACCCAATGCACATATTCTTTACAATCATAAAATCTGTGTTTCTATGCACTATCTACAGATCTACAGAATGTAAGGATCCCTGGAAGCAAAGGTCCACAAATCCACTCAGGAAAAAGCTCTCTCAGCTCCTTGGGGGAAAGTCATCTCAGTCTCTTCCAGCTTGACCTTGCTTACTTTTGCTCAATAAAACATTCCATTATTTCCCATGGGGGTGTGTGCACACGCACACACACATATGAAGGCCAGAGGTCAACCTTGGTACTGCTCTTCAGGAGCTGCCCACCTTATTTCCCACCTTTGTGTGTGTGTGTGTGTGTGTGTGTGTGTGTGTGTGTGTAGGGGGAAGCAGTGAGTGTGCACATGTGAACCTAGATGTATATGGAGACCAGAGTGAGTGTGTACATGTGAGCATGAGCCCATGTGTATGTGTATGTAGGGGGAAGTAGTGAGTGTGCACCTGTGCCTAGATGTGTGTGTGGGTGGAGGGGGAAGTAATGAGTGCGCACACATGAGCCTATGTGTGTGGAGACCAGAGTGAGTGTGCACACGTGAGCCTATGCGTGTGGAGACTAGAGTTCTGGTTGTTTTCCTCAGTTACTCTCCACCTTATGTTTTGAGCCTGGAGCTGTTACATCTGGCCAAACAGCAAGAGTCAGACCCTCCTGCCCATGCCTCCCCAGCACCACAGTCCCCGTGGCTGACACAGCACTTTACTGACTGAACCATCGCCCAGCCTCGCTTTACCTTCTGAGCCAGACACTCTTATGAGGACTGGGCCTTGCTGGTTAGGCTTGACTGGCTGGCCAGGGAGTCCTGGGGACCCTCCTGTCACTCTCTCCCAGCACTGGGAGTAAAAGCGTGCGGCACCATGCCTGTCCCTGTCTTTTTATAGGGCTGGGGACAGGTGTAGGTCTTCATGCTAAGGTGGCAAGCACTATGGACTGGACTATCTCCCTGACTCTCATGTACACACAGGCCCAAATGTAAAGATAGGACTGACTACACGTTGTCCCCATTGTCCCAGTATCTGATCCTGGGGTGAGAAGTGCCAGGCTGAATGCTGAAGGTCACCCTGCTCCATACAGCTAATTACCACCCACTTAGAGATGAAGAAACAGGTCCCAGAGATGGGGAGATGCTATGGTCAGCTGCTAAGTGAATCTGGCACCTCTGAGCAAACTTCATTAGTGTACCTTTAGAGTTGTCCCTTCTGTTTCAGTTAATACTGGGAGAGCCTTGCACAGAGGCTGCCAGGGTCACCAAGTCATTATGACCACTCCTTTGACAGACAACTAAAGACTCACTGAACACGCCTAGGAATATTCCTGCCCATGACCTTTTTGACCCCAAGCTGAGCAGACTAGAAGAGCTTGCATCTGTCATTTACCCTCTCAGCACTGGACTCTCTTACTGTGAGCTAAGCAGCCCAGAAACCCATCTAGCATCTTTCCTTCTTGAATGATAACCTAAAACTGAGCATGCTCAGAAAAGTTACCTTAAACGAGGATGGGGCAACCCCTGAAGCCCTTTCTTACAGGAGCATTCTCCCCAATGGGATCTCCCACTATACAGTCGGGGAGGGCACTGCTGAGAGTAACTCCGTGTGTCCTTTCCCTGCTAGAGGTAATGGAGCTTTCTCCAACCTTTTATCTCCTGTGCTCTGTGACTCAGTGCTCACCAAGATGTGAACACAGTGTGCTCCATTACACCATTTTACCAAAATGTGGCCGCTTGAAGGCAAAATAACTTGTTCTTTAGCCAAGTTATTCACTTGATTAACCAAAAGAGTAAACTCTTTCTCCAGAGTCATTTGGGAGGGAAAAGAAAAATCTGTCATGAAGTGCAGCATGTTCTGTTTTAACTAGAATTGTATGAATGCCAAGTAAAATCCAAGCCATGGCGCTGGAGAGACAGCATGTTAAGAGCACACACTGTTCTTCCAGAGGACCAGGGTTCAATTTCTAGCACCCACATGGCAGTTCACAACTGTAACTCCAGTTCTAGGGGATCCAACACCCTCACACAGATACACATGCAGGCAAAACACCAATGCACATAAGATAAAAATAAATTTAAAAAATCTTGTCAGAAAAGAAAAAAAAATCTTGTCAGGCATCGGTAGCACAAACCTTTAATCCCACACTCAGGAGGCAGAGGCACATCTCTGAGAGTTTGAGGCCAGCCTAGTCTACAGAGCAAGTGCCAGGACAGAAAAAAAACCCTGTCTCGAAAAACTAGGAAGGAAGGAAGGAAGGAAGGAAGGAAGGAAGGAAGGAAGGAAGG